GAAGTCAAGATCATCTACGCCTATAGGCCTTGTGGATATTCGCAAGAAATCCAAAATTTAATGGAAAGGATGAGTGCTTATCGATAACAAATGAGTTCGCATCTTACCAAAGCTTATGTAAATTCAACACAAGGTTTGCGTTGGCGGGTTGCGTTGGCGAGCCCCCAGGCCTTAAATATGCGTAGTGGCCAGTAGACTCCTTATCGGATGGCCTTTGGGAAAATCTCATTATCTCTAAGGTAAGTATCTCTTTGCGTAATATGCAAGTTTTGGCTTCATCTGATCTGGAAAAATTAATTCTGTGGCGAGATGAGGCGTTTGGAGGGACGTATCATAAATGGTTTTTGACTCTTCCAGCCTCTTACGAAGGCATGGACGCCGAAACGTCAGCCGAATAAAAATCGATACCATCTTGGTCAAGACTTCAAAACAATCAATACTTATATCAAGGACCAATGCCAAGATTTAAAGAAGGTCAGACCATCGAATTATTACAAGTTTCAATAATTTTCTCCTACCGCTTCCATCTACCTGTTGTGTGCGTACATAAGCTAGCTTATGAAGTGCAAGCTCTCTTTTCAAATAAAATCAAGTGCATGAAAATTCATTGAGTTATGAATTTTGGAAATGGTGCGAGAGAAATTGTGTACCAATCTATAATAATATTAAGTAGATGCAAAAATTTTGTCAGTTTTTGAAGCCATTCGCAAAAAGATAAACGATTACTAACAAAAAACACTAACAATAAGAAACAAGATATAAAGTTGTTTCCTCTTTCCCGCTGCCATAATCAATGTAATTCGTCGAAAGAGTGCTGAAAAATTGCTGGAAATTACAACCCTTTCTTCTCTGTGTCTGAACTTCGCTAATTTCCAATCGTTTAAAGCTTTTGTGAGAGCTCCAATCACAACAAATAAAACAAACCTTTTTTCAAGTCACGACAACTTTTCATCTTTTCGCAGCTTCGATCTCAAAATTTTGCCAGATATCACTTTAAAAGCTTGAGTCTTGCTGCAAAATCTTTAGACTACTGAGAGTTCTAGAACTCGATCATTACCGAATACAAGGCTGGGTCGCTTCAAAGATATCTTTTAGAAGTTCTAGAAGGCGAGTCATAAGGATACAAAAGATTGCATCAATAAAAGGTTTGCCCTATCAATTTGCTATCAAAACATCTGTAGTAGCCAGCTCTCAGTACTCTCAAAACGATTCATTAAAAATACGCCATCTGAAAAAAGGAACGTTTTCTGCGTCGCGAACTGCTTAAGTGTTTGTTTATCTTTACCGTGCCGGATCTGCGGGTTCTCTTAGAAAAACTGACAGAGCTTTTGCACCGAGCTGATACAGTTTTGTTCAAAATTGAATTTACCACAAATGTTAGGTTAGTTGATAGCCGTGGCCTTTCGATATGTGACATATGTCATGGCATTCTCCCTGCAATGCTGACTGAAACTAATTCAAGACTGCTCATTCGTTATTTGCGGAATGCTTCTTCAGAAAAACCTTATCTTTACGCAAGTGACGTGTTTGCACAAAAGTACGAGTATTTTAATAGGTGCTAAAGGTGTCGAATGGTCTAACGGTACGCTGTCGATTATCGCACAATGTATGCCGGCCTGTGGGTTACTGCAATTTTTGCGTTCGCCACAACCGCTAACTCTTCTCAAAAAAGCGTTTCGCAGATAACGAACATTTTGAGTCCAGCGTTTCAAGGCAAGCACTATATCTTAAAGCAAACCGAATGATTATTCGATTATTCGAATGAATCATTCAGATGCGAATCATTCGAAAATTCGAAT